GAGTCTGTGTGGCCATGGCACTGGTAAATAAACAAACTGGGGTGGTCAGTTAACGTGTTTCTCAAAGTGATTCCATGGAACACTTTCAGAAACTCTGATCTAGACCATCCTTGACAAGTGTTTGTCTAACCTGCTCATAAAAATCTCCAGTGAGGCAGATTCCATAACCTCCGTAGGCAATTTATTAAGCTTTGTCTAGACTACAGGTCTTCTTTCAGAAGAAGCTTTTTCGGATGAGATCTTCTGAAAAACTTCTTCTGAAACAGCATCCACACTGCAAAAATGCATCAAAAAAGAGATCTGCTTTTTCAAAAGAGAGCATCCAGACTGAATGGATGCTCTCTTGCATGTAAGCTGTGATTGCAATGGATGGAATGGCCACCAACAAAGCTCTTATTCCTATAAAGCTCCCTCTTCCCCATCTACACATGCTTTTTCATGAAAGAGCTCTTTCTCAAAAAGCCTTCCTCGTAGAATGAGAAACCCTTCTGTTCTTTTGATTTTCTTGTGGAAGAACACAATTGCAATGTAGACATTTCTCAAGTTTTGTTGAAAAAACAGCCATTTTTCCAACAAAATTGCAGTGGTGCAATTATGTATTGCCTTCCACAAATCTTCATTTATTGATAGGAATAATAAATCAAGCTAGCTGAAGTTTCCATGAAAAAAAGAAAGTTCATCATGCTTTTCAGTTCTCTTTGCACTCCAAAATAAACTCAGAAAATTCAATACAAACGTTTCTAGATACTGCATTGGTTCAGTTTCGTGTTCTGTATCAGGGAGCTTTTTGAAATGAGTTCTCTTTCTATTTTGTCCAATTTCTACACATAAATGCATTGATGAAAATGCCAACATTTCTTTTTCAATTTAAGTATGCTCATATGGAGAAAATTGTACTAATCTTATGCTGAGTATTACTTGCCTGGTAAGTAGTCACATAAGTCGGGATGGCAAGACCAGACTCACATTTCCATGACATTTCAAATACTGAATATTTCTTAGTAGTTGCTTGCATTTATTTTATAACCATGTAGGCCTCACTTTTCAAAATTCATGACTACAAAGCCTTGCCAGGATAGGCAGGGGTTAAAATATGACTTTTACTCCTCCCTATTCTTATTTCTAATTTCTGACATCATAGATTCATGGATTTTCAGAACTGAAAGGATCTTCCAGTTCAGCCTCCAGTATAACACAAAGGATTGAATTTGGCCAGCCACTTATATTTTTCATTTGATTAGAGCATATATTCCAGAAAGGCATAAAGGTCTTGAATTGAAGACATCAAGACATGAAGAATCTATCAGTTCTCTTGATACTTTGTTCAAATTGGTTACAAAAGTCATGACTTATTTCTAATTGAAATTTGTCTGAGTTGATTCCAGCCATTGGCTCTCCCTATAACTTTCTGTTACATTAGAGCACCCTGCCGTATCTGCTATTTTCTCTCCC